AATGTTTTCTGTTTTCTTTGAATATTTCTTCGTTTGTTTTTTTTTAGTAATTTGTTTTAAACATTTTTTTAATTGGTTTTATAACAGCTTATTGTAGAAATTATTTATTTATAATAATACATAATAAGATATGTTGGACAATATGTATATAGAAAAAAAATGAAAAAAATATTGAAATAAAAGGCTTGGGATGAAAAAATGGGTGGAAGGCAAAAGGAAAAACTGCTGACCTAAAAGGTTTTCGGTTTCTTATGGGTAGTTCTGACCTTCCACTTTTGTGAAAACTTCTCAAGCAATGCGAATCAATTCCATTTTTGAAATATATAAATTAGATTTTATCTTGGTGATTTTCAATTATTCAGATACATTCATATCAGACCTGCAAACATTTTTGGAAAATCGTTTGACTAACCTCTCGGCGATGATGAGAAAATTTCATTTTACAATAATAACAAGTTAAAAATAACAAGTAAAGTAAGTTCGGTGGGACCGAACTCCAAAATATCCTCGAACATTTGGAATGAATTTGGGAATTTTCAAAAAAAAAAAAAAATAAATAAATAAATAAATAAAATAAATAAATAAAAATAAATAAATAAAAATAAATAAAAATAAATAAATAAAAACTAGAATCCGTTAAAACTTCTCTCAGAATCTAAAAATACAAAATATAGGGAGTTACCGTTATTTGGTATTTTTAGATTTTGAGAGGTCTATACGAAAACGTGCACCAGCATAGGTAATTTTCTGAAACAGATACGGTGATTAATGTCGCGAAAATCATAAAAATACCGAATATAGGGAAGTACCGTTATATGAGGGCTATACGAAGACGTGGACCTGCATAGCCAATTTTCCGTCATAGAAATAAATAAAATCTGGCAAAAATACCACTTATATGGGGGCTATACGAGGTCGTGGACCTGCATTAGTTTTTTTTTTTTTTTTATCACAGGCTGTAGTACAGATTCTTCAAATACGCAATTTGAAACGATTGCAGTTAATAATGCCGGTAAAATCATCAAAATACCGAATATCATTACTGGTCTGGTCTAAAATGTTTCTAAAATCAGCAAAATATCGAATATCGGGAGGTATGGTTATATGGAGACTATACGAAGACTTGGGCCTGCATATGTAGTAACCATTACGAGCTTTAAATACTAAATTTGAAACAATTCTTGGTCTATAATGTCTCTAAAATAATCAAAATACCGAGTATCTGGAGGCATATACACAGACTTCGGCCTGCATATCTCTATTTTTGTCTTAGTTTGTTGCACCCCAAAAAGGAAATTTGAAACAATTCCGGTCAATAATGTCGCTAAAATCATTAAAATACTGAATATCGTGAGTTACGTTATATGGGAGCTATACGAAGTTAACCTGCCTACCGACAAAATACACATGCGTACAAAATATTAGCCTTTATTCATAGACATCGCACTTCATAGAAATCATCTTAGAATTTTACACAAATCCAGAATATATATACTTTGTAGGGTATACATACATGAGTATTTCGAAGAGGTATAAACGGCATGACAAACTTAATATGCCCTCCATAGAATGGAGGAGGTTATACAAATTGCCTTCTAGTTGGGACAGCCTTTTGTCATGAATAGTAGAATGTTGATGGCGATTCTACATCAAAATCTCAATGGCATAGCCAATTACATTTTACAGCGTTGCCAATCTTCAGCCAAGACACAAATCGGGTGGCAATCGTGATGAATTCCCCTGTGTTTGAAGTTGAAAAATGTGTCGCCCTGTGTTCAATAAAATAGACACCATGGTAGAAAAATACAGGTAGATGCATCAACGCTAGGGGAACAATCAAATTTTTTTTTGTAGATTTTTATAAGTTTTCCTTACGACGTCATTCGGAGGCTATTATAATACGCGTTTTTCAACCAATTTAAATAATTTTTCATTCAACATTTTCAATTCCAAAATTGTTTTGACAGTTCATTGTCCCAGCAGCTACGTCGATGCGTCTACCTATATTCTACGTCGATGCGTCTACCTATATTTTGCCGGTAAAATCATCAAAATACCGAATATCATTACTGGTCTGGTCTAAAATGTTTCTAAAATCAGCAAAATATCGAATATCGGGAGGTATGGTTATATGGAGACTATACGAAGACTTGGGCCTGCATATGTAGTAACCATTACGAGCTTTAAATACTAAATTTGAAACAATTCTTGGTCTATAATGTCTCTAAAATAATCAAAATACCGAGTATCTGGAGGCATATACACAGACTTCGGCCTGCATATCTCTATTTTTGTCTTAGTTTGTTGCACCCCAAAAAGGAAATTTGAAACAATTCCGGTCAATAATGTCGCTAAAATCATTAAAATACTGAATATCGTGAGTTACGTTATATGGGAGCTATACGAAGTTAACCTGCCTACCGACAAAATACACATGCGTACAAAATATTAGCCTTTATTCATAGACATCGCACTTCATAGAAATCATCTTAGAATTTTACACAAATCCAGAATATATATACTTTGTAGGGTATACATACATGAGTATTTCGAAGAGGTATAAACGGCATGACAAACTTAATATGCCCTCCATAGAATGGAGGAGGTTATACAAATTGCCTTCTAGTTGGGACAGCCTTTTGTCATGAATAGTAGAATGTTGATGGCGATTCTACATCAAAATCTCAATGGCATAGCCAATTACATTTTACAGCGTTGCCAATCTTCAGCCAAGACACAAATCGGGTGGCAATCGTGATGAATTCCCCTGTGTTTGAAGTTGAAAAATGTGTCGCCCTGTGTTCAATAAAATAGACACCATGGTAGAAAAATACAGGTAGATGCATCAACGCTAGGGGAACAATCAAATTTTTTTTTTGTAGATTTTTATAAGTTTTCCTTACGACGTCATTCGGAGGCTATTATAATACGCGTTTTTCAACCAATTTAAATAATTTTTCATTCAACATTTTCAATTCCAAAATTGTTTTGACAGTTCATTGTCCCAGCAGCTACGTCGATGCGTCTACCTATATTCTACGTCGATGCGTCTACCTATATTTTGCCGGTAAAATCATCAAAATACCGAATATCATTACTGGTCTGGTCTAAAATGTTTCTAAAATCAGCAAAATATCGAATATCGGGAGGTATGGTTATATGGAGACTATACGAAGACTTGGGCCTGCATATGTAGTAACCATTACGAGCTTTAAATACTAAATTTGAAACAATTCTTGGTCTATAATGTCTCTAAAATAATCAAAATACCGAGTATCTGGAGGCATATACACAGACTTCGGCCTGCATATCTCTATTTTTGTCTTAGTTTGTTGCACCCCAAAAAGGAAATTTGAAACAATTCCGGTCAATAATGTCGCTAAAATCATTAAAATACTGAATATCGTGAGTTACGTTATATGGGAGCTATACGAAGTTAACCTGCCTACCGACAAAATACACATGCGTACAAAATATTAGCCTTTATTCATAGACATCGCACTTCATAGAAATCATCTTAGAATTTTACACAAATCCAGAATATATATACTTTGTAGGGTATACATACATGAGTATTTCGGGGAGTTATAAACAGAATGACAAACTAAAAGAATGGAGGAGGTTATACAAATTGCCTTCTGGTTGGTGCAGCCTTTACCATGAATAGTAGAATGTTGATGGCGATTCTACATCAAAATCTCAATGGTATAGCCAATTACATTTTTGCCAATGCGTTGCCAATCTTCACCCTAGACGCAAATCTGGTGGCAGTCGTGATGAATTCCCCTGTGTTTAAAGTTGAAAAATGTGTCGCCCTGTGTTCAGTAAAATAGACACCATGGTAGAAAAATACAGGTAGATGCATCCACGATAGGGGAACATTCATATGTCAATTTTTTTATATGTTTTCTTATACGACGTCTTTCGGAGGCTATTATAATACGCGTTTTTCAACCATTTTTACAAATTTAAATAATTTTTCATTCAACATTTTCAATTCCAAAATTGGTTTGACAGTTCATTGTCTCAGCAGCTACGTCGATGCGTCTACCTATATTCTCCTACCATGATAGACACAAAACAAAATAAATAGATTTTTTCTATTTTCATGATGTTCCGAGGCTGTTATAATACTATTATAATAGCCTCCCAATGACGTAGTATAAGAAACCATATAAAAATCTACTTATATTTGAAAAAACATTTAATTTTTTTTGACATTTACAGTGAATTTTTTTTTAATAATTCGTTTTACCAATTTCAAAGAGAACATTTCACCACAGCAAGTTTTTGTTTGCTCTACTAAACACAGGGCGACATCTACATTTCACAATATTATTCGTCTTTAAACACAGGGCAATTCAGCAATGCTATTTATACCACTAGATGTGCGTGTGTGTGTGTGTCTTAGCTTAGCAATGGCGGCATGTGATTAACAATGAGTAAAGATTGGCAGCACTGTAAAACAGGGCCAGGCAAGAGTAGGCCCGCATATCTTCACTGAGCGTAATGCTATCCCCACTCACATTCAGAGCCATTTAAAACCGATGGCAGTACGAGCAGCCTCGAACGAAAAAGTATAAACAAAACATATGTATTCTCTCTCTTGATTTTCATTTGCCGTTGATTTGCCATGGCAAAAGGGTGTTTCTTACCGCTGCTAATGCATATATTGTGAGCAAGGCACTGTTAATCGGAGAGTAACAAAATTGGGAGAATATAAATGCGCGACTCTCTGAGCGGCAATGTTTTTAAAATTTAAATGTAATTTAATGTGATTTTCGTGTAGCATCGCCACAGACAAGAAGGAAATAGAAAAGAATAAAAAATATTTTTTTTAAATGACTAGTATGTGCTTAATTATTTTTAGGATCACTGGCTCGTTAAAAAAACGTCGATAAAATTTTAAGCCATAGAATGGGTATGAAATTATTTTGAAATATATTTTCAAAAATGTTTGCAGGTAACAAAAAAAAAAAAAAAAAAAAACTGAAAAACTTAAATGTACGTACATATGTACGAATATGTCTGTATATCTATATGTAATAGTATATATAATTAATGCCTTCTAATTTATATCTTATAATCCTTTTCTTTCCTTTTTTCTGCATGTTCGCACTTGTTTTTCTCGCCAATATTAATGTAAATTATATTTCTATGTAATTCATGAGTATTTTTTCTTCTTCTTCTTCTTGTTATTTTATGCTAGTGTGTTTGTGTGTGAGTGCGTGAAGAAAGAAAGGACAAACGACGACTCTCTCTTTCAATACGCTAATGTCCTTATATGACGACTGTAGATGTGTTTGTATATATGTATATATGTATGAGTATCTTATATATATATGTCTATATAAATGTCTATGTCCTTCAATTTTATATGTATACAATTATACATTTATTATATATGCATGTATATGTGGGCTTTGATGTGTGTACGTTTCTGTGTGTGTGTGTGAGTAATTGTGTTTGTTTGTCTGAGTGTGGTTTCTTATTCTAAAGCCGATTTGCATCATCTTAGGGCTAAGCCTCTACTTAGCCATCTTAAGATTGCCGATGTCAAAGGTGTGGAGCAGAGGATATGTGTCGTTAGCACAAGTGCTGGCGATATGTGTAGCCATGATATGCTTTGTCTCGTTGCTGTTATTCTAGCTGTCGTTTGTGCTGCATTGCGCGATTCTTCCAGGCCTGCAAAAACAACAAGGACGAAAGAGACATAAGTAAATAATTAGGATTTGAAAATGAAGTGTAATTGAATGATTTTTAAAGATATGGAATAATGAAAAAAAAAGAAACAAAGGCGAGGATTTTTTAAAGAATATTTTTCAATGACAAACATAGGCGTGGATTTTTTAAAGAATATTTTTCCGAGGACTAAAATAAACGTGGATTTTTTAAAGAATATTTTTTCAAGGACTAAAATAAACGTGGATTTTTTAAGGAATATTTTTTCAAGGACTAAAATAAACGTGGATTTTTTAAAAAATATTTTTTCAAGGACTAAAATAAACGTGGATTTTTTAAAAAATATTTTTTCAAGGACTAAAATAAACGTGGATTTTTTAAAGAATATTTTTTCAAGGGCTAAAATTAACGTGGATTTTTTAAAAGATTATTTTTTCAAGGACTAAAATAAACGTGGATTTTTTAAAGAATATTTTTTCAAGGGCTAAAATTAACGTGGATTTTTTAAAAGATTATTTTTTCAAGGACTAAAATAAACGTGGATTTTTTAAAGAATATTTTTTCAAGGACTAAAATAAACGTGGATTTTTTAAAGAATATTTTTTCAAGGACTAAAATAAACGTGGATTTTTTAAAGAATATTTTTTCAAGGACTAAAATAAACGTGGATTTTTTAAAGAATATTTTTTCAAGGACGAAAAAAACGTGGATTTTTTAACAATATTTTGCGAGGACTAAAATAAACGTGGATTTTTTAAAGAATATTTTTTCAAGGACTAAAATAAACGTGGATTTTTTAAAGAATATTTTTTCAAGGACGAAAAAAACGTGGATTTTTTAAAGAATATTTTTTCAAGGACGAAAAAAACGTGGATTTTTTAAAGAATATTTTGCCGAGGACTAAAATAATCGTGGATTTTTTAAAGAATATTTTTCAAGGACTAAAATAAACGTGGATTTTTTAAAGAATATTTTTCAAGGACTAAAATAAACGTGGATTTTTTAAAGAATATTTTTTCAAGGACTAAAATAAACGTGGATTTTTTAAAGAATATTTTTTCAAGGACTAAAATAAACGTGGATTTTTTAAAGAATATTTTTTCAAGGACTAAAATAAACGTGGATTTTTTAAAGAATATTTTTTCAAGGACGAAAATTAAACGTGGATGTTTTAAAGAATATTTTTTCAAGGACGAAAATTAAACGTGGATGTTTTATAGAATATTTTTTCAAGGACGAAAATAAAAGTGGATTTTTTAAACAATATTTTTTCAAGGACGAAAATAAACGTGGATTTTTTAAAGAATATTTTTTCAAGGACGAAAATAAACGTGGATTTTTTAAACAATATTTTTCAAGGACGAAAATAAACGTGAATTTTTTAAAGAATATTTTTTCAAGGACGAAAATAAACGTGGATTTTTTAAACAATATTTTTTTCAAGGACTAAAATAAACGTGGATTTTTTAAACAATATTTTTTCAAGGACTAAAATAAACGTGGATTTTTTAAACAATATTTTTTCAAGGACTAAAATAAACGTGGATTTTTTAAACAATATTTTTTCAAGGACTAAAATAAACGTGGATTTTTTAAACAATATTTTTTCAAGGACTAAAATAAACGTGGATTTTTTAAACAATATTTTTTCAAGGACTAAAATAAACGTGGATTTTTTAAACAATATTTTTTCAAGGACTAAAATAAACGTGGATTTTTTAAACAATATTTTTTCAAGGACTAAAATAAACGTGGATTTTTTAAACAATATTTTTTCAAGGACTAAAATAAACGTGGATTTTTTAAACAATATTTTTTCAAGGACTAAAATAAACGTGGATTTTTTAAACAATATTTTTTCAAGGACTAAAATAAACGTGGATTTTTTAAACAATATTTTTTCAAGGACTAAAATAAACGTGGATTTTTTAAACAATATTTTTTCAAGGACTAAAATAAACGTGGATTTTTTAAACAATATTTTTTCAAGGACTAAAATAAACGTGGATTTTTTAAACAATATTTTTTCAAGGACTAAAATAAACGTGGATTTTTTAAACAATATTTTTTCAAGGACTAAAATAAACGTGGATTTTTTAAACAATATTTTTCAAGGACTAAAATAAACGTGGATTTTTTAAACAATATTTTTTCAAGGACTAAAATAAACGTGGATTTTTTAAACAATATTTTTTCAAGGACTAAAATAAACGTGGATTTTTTAAACAATATTTTTTCAAGGACTAAAATAAACGTGGATTTTTTAAACAATATTTTTTCAAGGACTAAAATAAACGTGGATTTTTTAAACAATATTTTTTCAAGGACTAAAATAAACGTGGATTTTTTAAACAATATTTTTTCAAGGACTAAAATAAACGTGGATTTTTTAAACAATATTTTTTCAAGGACTAAAATAAACGTGGATTTTTTAAACAATATTTTTTCAAGGACTAAAATAAACGTGGATTTTTTAAACAATATTTTTTCAAGGACTAAAATAAACGTGGATTTTTTAAAGAATATTTTTGGGAAATACTTACGATACTTACCGCCAATAAAATTCAGTTGATCATCATTTATGGTCGCTATGCCAGGATGCAGTTTGATTTCTATATAAAAAAGGACCAAAGTCAATTACAATAGACCGCCTTAGAAAATCTTCTCCTCTAAGTCTTACCATATAATCTCAGAGTACCCTCAGCCCGACCCAAAGAATTCGTGCTGACACAGTGATAGGTACCCACATCGGAGGGTGAAAATGAGCGCACGGTGAGCAGCATAATGCCACGATAGCCATCCCGTTTCTCGGTTATGGAATATTTGGGTCTGGTTCAATACAAAAAAGAAAATAAAACCTTTTATTAATACTTCCAATTCTCCCATTTTTTGGGTGGAATTCTTACCCATCCAATAACATTTCCGGTCCGGGTTGTCCCGTCTCCAAAGCACTGTTGCTATTAAAGCCACTCGATGTCCTGGCGCCTTTGAGCCAATAGGAAACGGGAGATGGCGATGCCTCAACCTGACATTCCAATTGGACATCGGAGCCGAGGGGCGTACCCAGCAGTTGGCTTGGCGCCCGAACCATGGGGGCAACTGGAAATTATACATTTCAGGGAGAAAGAGAGAGGTTATTTGGGGGATAATGTGCCAGAGATTTTGCTAACTTACATTGTACACTGAGAGACACCCGCTTGCTAACCGCTGGAGGTACATCATTGGAGGCTATACACAAATAGGCACCCATTTGACGTCTTTCGAGGCGGGCCAGTTTCAAGGCCGGACCTTGGAAGGATTCAACTGAAATGACGGAGATTAATTCATTTTTCAAAAAATCTTTCTCTCTCTCTCTTAAATTTCCAAATTTGAACTATTTCTCTCTCTCTCTCTGTCATTCTCAATTTTTCTTTCTCCCGAGAATGTAAAACTCACCTCTCATCAGTTCCCGACTGCCTGGCTTACGCAACAAAATCATTTCACCATCTTCCCGACGCCAGGTGACCCGTGGCGTTGGATTGCCCGTGGCCTTGCAAACCAGGGTGGCATCTTCGCCCTCTTGCACCGCCAAATCCGAGGACGATTCTTCATTAATAATATCTGGAGGAACTGCGAAGAGGGAAAAAATGCAATTTTTTGCAATTTTGAATAGAATTTCCAAAGAGCCATTACCTTGAACATCGATACATCCGACTTGCTTCTTCATGGGGCTAGTATTGATCTGACACATATAGCAACCACGATCGCTTTCACGCAATTTACTTATTTTCAACTTCCAGGTGTGCATATCCTCGTGCATGACACTTATGCGGGCGTTGTGCGTGACCACACGTCCCTGGAGGGCCAACACTGTCTGGTCTGAGGCCCGCAGCCAACCGACCTAGAATAAAACATGATTTTTTTTATAGAATATTTTCCAAGAATAAAACTTGGATTTTTTAAAGAATTTTTTTCAAGGACTAAACTTGGATTTTTCTGAGAATATTTATCAAGGATTAAACGTGGATTTTTCTGAGAATATTTTTTCAAGGACTAAACATGGATTTTTCAAAGAATATTTTTCAAGGACTAAACGTGGATTTTTTAAAGAATATTTTTTAAGGACTAAACGTGGATTTTTTAAAGAATATTTTTCAAGGACTAAACGTGGATTTTTCTGAGAAGATATTTCCAGGACTAAACGTGGATTTTTGAAAGAATATTTTTGAAGGACTAAAATTTGATTTTTCTGAGAAGATATTTCCAGGACTAAACGTGAATTTTTTTAAAGAATATTTTTCAAGGACTAAGCGTGGATTTTTTAAGGAATATTTTTCAAGGACTAAGCGTGGATTTTTTAAGGAATATTTTTCAAGGTCTAAGCGTGGATTTTTTAAGGAATATTTTTCAAGGACTAAGCGTGAATTTTTTAAGGAATATTTTTCAAGGACTAAGCGTGGATTTTTTAAGGAATATTTTTCAATCGTGGATTTTTTAAGGAATATTTTTCAATCGTGGATTTTTTAAGGAATATTTTTCAAGGACTAAGCGTGAATTTTTTAAGGAATATTTTTCAAGGACTAAGCGTGGATTTTTTAAGGAATATTTTTCAAGGACTAAGCGTGGATTTTTTAAGGAATATTTTTCAAGGACTAAGCGTGGATTTTTTAAGGAATATTTTTCAAGGACTAAGCGTGGATTTTTTAAGGAATATTTTTCAAGGACTAAGCGTGGATTTTTTAAGGAATATTTTTCAAGGACTAAGCGTGGATTTTTTAAGGAATATTTTTCAAGGACTAAGCGTGGATTTTTTAAGGAATATTTTTCAAGGACTAAGCGTGGATTTTTTAAGGAATATTTTTCAAGGACTAAGCGTGGATTTTTTAAGGAATATTTTTCAAGGACTAAGCGTGGATTTTTTAAGGAATATTTTTCAAGGACTAAGCGTGGATTTTTTAAGGAATATTTTTCAAGGACTAAGCGTGGATTTTTTAAGGAATATTTTTCAAGGACTAAGCGTGGATTTTTTAAGGAATATTTTTCAAAACTTCGATTTTTCTGAGAAGATATTTCCAGAACTAAACGTGGAATTTTTAAGGAATATTTTTCAAAACTTCGATTTTTTGAGAAGATATTTCCAGGACTAAACGTGGATTTTTTAAAGAATATTTTTCAAAACTTGGATTTTTCTGAGAAGATATTTCCAGGACTAAACGTGGATTTTTTAAAGAATATTTTTCAAAACTTGGATTTTTCTGAGAAGATATTTCCAGGACTAAACGTGGATTTTTTAAAGAATATTTTTCAAAACTTGGATTTTTCTGAGAAGATATTTCCAGGACTAAACGTGGGTTTTTTAAAGAATATTTTTCAAAACTTGGATTTTTCTGAGAAGATATTTCCAGGACTAAACGTGGATTTTTTAAAGAATATTTTTAAAAACTTGGATTTTTCTGAGAAGATATTTCCAGGACTAAACGTGGATTTTTTAAAGAATATTTTTAAAAACTTGGATTTTTCTGAGAAGATATTTCCAGGACTAAACGTGGATTTTTTAAAGAATATTTTTTTTCGGCCCAAGGTAAATTAGTAAAAAATATTTTTAAACAAATGTGGCGAAATTTTGTAACAGGATTTTTGTTCTGAAAAAATCTTCAAGGACTTTCTTTTGTAAATATTTTGCAATTATTTTTGATCAATAATATTTTCATTTTTTTCAAAGTTTAAATATTTTATCTACCCTACCTTATTTTTCCCCAAATTCCTTACGGAACAGGCCAATATGGCCTCACGGCCTGCGGGAAATGTGACATTGTTAATGGTGCCAATAAATTCGGGATCTGGATCCAGTTGCATGTTGGGTTCTGGAAAAAAAAATTAAAAAAAAAAATACAAATTTATTATTGAAGTCATTATCAATAGCAAATTATTTCTCTCTCCTACCATTTAACATTTGTGTCAGGGTGGGCGTGGACCAATGTGTTGTCACAATGAGGGTTATCAGCAAAAATGAGTAGAATTTATCCATTTTGTTGTTGTTGTTGTATTTTAAGCTAGAGCTAGTCGTCCTGATTTTTTTCTTGGGCTTGAATCCTTTTGTAGAATTGAGTTGCTCTAAGAATCACAGTTGTTCTTTATTGTGCAGTTTGCAGTAGATATAATGGAGAGATATTTGAAGGTTGAAATAGGATTTGAGTTTTTGACATTCATGGGAGTTGGGGCAGAGTCTGAAAAGAGAGAGAGAGAGAGAAATTTGTTGAATTTGAATTTTGAAATATTTCGAAAGTTTTGTTCTTATGGGCATATTATTTTTCCAAGGTAAAAAAGTAATCCAAAAATGATGATATTTTTTATGGTATATACAGGGTGAGATAAAAAAACTGCCACAAAGTCAAACACCATAATTTTTACATTTATTTTTAATTTTTTTGTATGAAAGCAAAAAATGTCGGAGATCATGTCGCATCAAATTTTAGAATAAGTTTAGCTTTGTTCGAATTGGTCACCTTTGGCACGAATTATGGCCTTCAAACGGCCAATGAAACCGTCACACGCTGCCCGAATGTTGCTCTGCGGTATTTTGGCCCATTCCCGGCGATCGACACTTTGGTATTTTCTAGTGCCAACCTTGCTTTCCAAAATACTCCAGGCACAATAGTCCAACGGGTTGGTATCCAGAGATTTTGGTGGTCATTGTGGGCTGGAAATGAAGCGAGGAACCTCATTTTGTAACCGTTCTTGGGTGACGCATGCTGAGTCCTGTTAGGAATGTCCAGGTCTGCGGCCAAAATGTTTTCGTGCCCAAGGCCTTAATACACCCTATAGAATATTTTCGCGATAATATTTGGCATTTATTCTGATGCGATTAATACGATCGGAGAGCGACCATCGGCTGTTATGGCGGCCCATACCATCACCGTGGCCGGTGCTTGAATTCTGGTGGCCAACCGAAGGTGCACATTATCAGCTGACCTCTTTGGCAAGTAAACAGCATCATTTTGGTTGTTTACAAACTGCTGGACAACGAATGTTTTCTAATTGGGGACAACCAAATTCGGCAGTTCACCACTTTCGGCCAAGCGAAGCAACTTTTTAGCTCTTTTGTGTCTATTTTCTTTCGGTTGCGGTGTAAGTTCTTGCGCTTTTTGGAATTTCAATGACTTTACCCCGAGCTCTTTTTTCAATATTTGCCGAATCGAATATTACGATATGTTCAGCCCACGAGCAATTTTTCAGCCACTGCGACGCAGGTTTCGATGAAGTCGATTCTTTACTTTTCGAACCATTTCTGCTGATGTTGCTGTTTTCCTCTGTCCACTTCCTTGACGTCGGGCTACGCTACCAGTATCACGGTAACGAGCGATGTTACGAGACTCAAAAGATTTATTCACATTTAAATGCTGGAGTGCTCTAAGGATAGCTGCTTGTGGTTTTCCAGCCACATATAAAGAAATTACACTATCATGCTTGAATTCCATCACGAATAACTTTTTGTTTCTGGAAAATTCTCACCAAAATGCTTTTGTCCCCTTCTAAATAATATAATGTGCTGTCACTGGAATAATTTTAACATCTGTCGGACGAGTGGTTTTGGAATTTGCAGCAGTCTGAAGTTGGTTGCAGATATTTCATTTCACCCTGTATGAATTACTAGCTTTTAGTTAAGTTCTGGAGTTTCAAAGTATTCTGGGACCTGTTGTAGAATTTTAACTTGGGCCGAAATGGCGAATATTTTTATACCCTACACCACAAGGTGGTCAGGGTATTATGTCTTTGTGCATTTGTTTGTAACAGGCAAAAGGAAACGAGATAGACCCATAGTTCCTTTTGATGATCTGCATAGAATCACTTTCTGGGTTGATTTATGCATGTCAGTCCGTCCGTCTGTCCATGTATTTTTGTGAACAAAATGCAGGTCGCATTTATTATCCGATTGAAATGAAATTTTGCAAACAACATTTGTTTGGCCCAAGGACAAACCCTATTGAAATTGGAGATAATCGGTAAAAATTTAGATATAGCTCCCATATATATCTTCGTCCGATTTGCCTTTTATTGTGCACCAAACGTGTAATATCAGCCCGAATAGTATGAAATTTTGCACATACAACCAAATTAGGCCTGAAAATAAGTATGCCAAATTTTATCGAAATCGGTTCAGATATAGCTATAGCTCCCATATATATTGTTCATCCGATTTGTTATTTTTGTCCTCCGCAGCCGTAATATGCACTCTGTAACAACAATATTTGGGGAAATATATCAAATGCAGCTCAGAAATATCTTTGCCAAATTTTATCGAGATCGGTTCAGATTTGGATATAGCTCCCATATATAACTTCGTCCGATTTACCATTTATTGTGCACCAAACGTCTAATATTTGTCCAAATGGGATGGAATTTGGCACATACGACCGAATTTAGTCTAGAAGGTAGTATGCCAAATTTGGTGAAGATCGGTTCAGATATAGTTATAGCTCCCATATATATTGTTCATCCGATTTATTGTATTTGTTACCCACAGTCGTAATATGCACTCCGTAACAACGATATTCAGGGAAATATATCAAATACAGCTCAGAAATATCTTTGCCAAAATTTATCGAGATCGGTTGCGATTTGGATATAGCCATATATATTCTCATCCGATTTTAAATTAGCACCAAATGGGCAACACAAGTCCGAATTTAAAAGATACAAATGGTTCGGCATATTTAGTCCTTTGAATTTTAAATGATAATTATAATCATAGCGTGTATGATTGAATTCTCCCATAAAAACTTTTAATTATTAGCGGAGCTCAACTAAATTAGCAAAGTGGTGTAGGGTATCATAAAATCGGCCCCGCCCGACTTTAGGACTTTCTTTACTGGTTTTAAAATATTTTATCTCGCTATGTTTCCGTTTAAGGGGAGTTTTTTAGTGGCTTTTTGAAAAAAGGACCAAAAAGACCCCTTTGCTAACTCGATTGAGGGTTAAAAAGGATGACCAAAATAATCTTTGAATTGTTACCAGTAATATTGTTAAATACACTATGAACCTAAAATGTAAGGATTACAAGGAATCTGAATGCGAAAATGTCAAAGAATGTGGGAGCGAGGGGAACATGCCTCCTCGACTTAAATTAGTTTGGACTGTAAATTTGCCGAGACCCGTGTCTTTTATATTTAACTTTACTTTTAAAATCTACTAAAGTTTTCCTACAAATAAGGAAAACGTGAATTTTTTCACAAATTTTCAATTTTTTGCTATTTTTACTTATTTTTAAATATTTTCAAAAACTCAAATTTTTCCCTTTAATCTTTTAAACAAATCCATAACAAAATATCAACAATTGATGTTAAACATAAAAAACCTAAATACATACATATGTTAGATATCAAACATAGTTTTTCAAAATTATTATCTCATTCGGACAAATGGACATAGTGACAGATAGACAGAAATACAGACAAATGGAACAAATATTCGAAGGGAGAACGGAGCAAAAAAAAAAAAAAACAGAAGCAAAGAATTTGAAAGGATTACTTTTTTCACACACACAAAAACACACACATACTGCATGTATGTAATTTGCATGATTTTGAAATTTGTAGCAAAAATCATAAATTTAAAAAAAATATCTATTCACATGGACACACGTACACACACACACACACACATACAGACGCAAACATAATTCAATGCATGCTTATTTATCGCTTGTGATAACTCAAGTGTAATATTTGTTGTTGTTTTCTTTCTTGTTTTATGACTTTTGGTCTGTCAGTGTGTGAGAGTGTGTGTGAGTGTGTGTATGTGCGTTCCAAGTGCACTTGCTGGGTATGTATGTGTGCATGCATTTGTGTAAAATGTCGATATTTCAAACCGTATAATAATTCATATGAAAATCAGACAATAAATAATAACAACATCAAATGGCATTGCCTTAAATAAAAAAAATAATGACAAATTTTTATTTACAGCTGGGAGTATTGAAATTTTCTTTTGAGGGGGAGTTTCAAAACTACAGAAATCGAGAGAGTATTTGGAATAAAAAAAGAGACTTTCTTAAGAATTATCTTGGGATTTATTTTTTATGGTTTAGGAATTGGGTGGAATTTTTGAGGCAGGGTTTTTTTGAAATTTGTACTAAAAGGATACAAAAGTACTAAAATGCATTAAATATTCAATACTTTGTATTGGACAATCTAAATGAGTTAGGACTCTAAAATTTGGAATGAGGGTCACAGATGGAGTGCAGAAAAGATAAACCAAAGGGTTTCGAACTTTAAGGTTACGAAAAGTTTTAAAAATGGTACTAAACTTTTGAAATGGTACCATGTGAATGGATAACTACTATTATGTGAAAGGATAGAGGTAAAAAATTGAAACTTGGTATGAGAATCAAAGCAGGAAAGTAAGTTTGATAAGCAGGGTGGGCACGCAAACATTTTGGCCGCAGACCTTTGACAATCCAACAGGACTAAGAACCTTCGTACTCAGCACGCGCCACACAGGAATGGTTACAAAATGAGGTTCCTCACTTTATTTGCAGATACCAAAATTGAGACGTGGAAGTGATTTTGGAATTGTGTACTATAATTGTGCGAAAAGTACTAAATAGTACTTAATTTGGATTTATTGAAGGAATGAGCTGGAACCTTAAAATTTGATATTGAGGTCTCTTTTGGCATCTGGGGTGGAGATATAGAGGGATTTTGGAAATGTCTACCATTACTGTACGAAAAGTACTAAATTTGGTATTGAGTGAAGGGATAGGGCTGTAGTCTTCAAATTTGATATATATATATATATTACTGTTAGTGATTGTAGTTAATGTTAGTGTACTATAATTGTACGAAAAGTACTAAATAGTACTTAATTTTGTATTGATAGAAGGGTTGAGCTGGAACCCTGAAATTTGCAATTTAGGTCTCTTTTGGTACCTTAAACTCAGATGTGGAAATTCAAATATAGACGTCACCATCAAAAATATTCTTTAAAAAATCCACGTTTATTTTGGTCCTTGAAAAATATTCTTTAAAAAATCCACGTTTATTTTGGTCCTTGAAAATTATTCTTTAAAAAACCCACGTTTTGCTGGACTTTGGTCCTTGAAAATTATTCTTTAAAAAACCCACGTTTATTTTCGTCATTGAAAAACATTCTTTAACAAATTCACGTTTTGTGGGCCTTGAAAAATATTCTTTAAAAAATCCACGTTTTGTGGGCCTTTGGTCCTTGA